GAGGAGGAGGACGAGGGGGGGGGGCCCCGAGGGGTCTGAGCACCGCCGGCAGTCTCTTCTGCAGCCGGGGGCCCCCAGGAGGCCGCGCCACGGGTGAGGTCCCCCCACCAGCCCTGCCCGGCTTGCGGCGCCTCCCGCTCTGCGAGGAAGGTCTGCCGGGCACGTGCGGCCCGGGGGCCTGGAGGACTCTGTCGTCCGAACTGTTGTGATCTGTACGTACGTATGTATGTCTGTCTGTCTATCTGTCTGTCTGTCTGTCTGTCTGTCTGTCTGTCTGTCTGTCTGTCTGTCTGTCTGTCTGTCTGTCTGTCTGTCTGTCTGTCTCTCTGTCTGTCTGTCTGTCTGCATGCATGCATGCATGTAGTAGGTAGGTCGGTAAGTAGGTAGTCGGTATGCATGCATGCATGTTTGCGTGTCTGTGTGTCTGGGTGTCTGTCTGTCTGTCTGTATGCACGCATGCATGCATGTACGTATGTATATATGTTTGTAGGTGTGTATGTATGCATGCATGCATGCATGCATGCATGCATGCACATATGCATGTATGCATGTACGTAGGTATCTATATATGCATGCACTTATGTATGTATGTATGTATGTATGCATGGATGCATGTATGTATGTATGTATGTATATTTATGTGCACGCATGTAAGTATGCATGCGTAAATGTATGTATGCATCTAGATGTATGCATGTATATGTGTAAGTATGTATGTATGCGTGTATGTATGTGTGTATGTACGTGTGTATGCATGTATGTATGTATGTATGTATGTGTGCATGTATGTATGCATGTGTATTTGTGTATGTATTTTTGTATGTGTGTATGTATATATGTATGCATGTCTGTCTGTATGTATGTATTTATATGTATGTATATGCATGTAAATGTAGGTATGCGTATGCATATGTATGTATATCTATGTACATGTATGTATATATATATGTATATGTATGTATGCATATATGTGTGTATATGTGTGTATATGTATGCATGTATGTATGTATGCATGTGCGTATTTGTGTATATATGTATGTATGTATGTATGTATGTATGTATGTATGTATGTATGTATGTATGTATGTATGTATGTATGTATGTATGTATGTGTATGTGTATTTACAGATGCATTTATGTATGTAGGTATGCATGCATGTATGCATGTATGTATGTATTTATGTATGCATGTGTGTGCATGTATGTATGTATGCATGCATGCACACATGGACGGGTGGATGTATGCACGTATGCATGAAGGCATGCATGCATGTATGCATATATGTATGTATGCATGCATGTATGCATGTATGTATGTGTGTGTATGCATGTATGTACACATGTATGTATGTATGTTGTATATATGTATGCATGTATGCATGCCATTATCTGTCGGTATGTATGTATGTACGTTTGCATGCATGCATGCATGTATGTATATATGCACGTATGTATGTACGTATGTACGTACGTACGTACGTACGTACGTACGTATGTATGTATGTATGTATGTATGTATGTATGATGGCATGTATGTATTTATGTATGTATGCATGCATGTATGCATGCATGCATACATGCATGTATGTATGTATGTATGTATGTATGTTTGTATGTTCGTATATCTGTATATATGTATGCAGGCAGGCATTTCTGTATATACTCAATCACACAAACGTGTATATACGCCTATTCATCTATACACACACACGACCCCGAGGGCTGGGACCAGTTCGACTGGCTCACGAAGGATGCGGAGTCTCCGCTGCTTGTCGGCAACGACTGGGGCGTCGTGGAGGCCCTCCGCCTCCCCACCCAGGAATTTCTCCTTGTGAGAGGCGGGGACGGGACGAAACGGCAGGGGGGGGAGGGGTTCGAGATCGATTGTCGAGGTTTTCGGGCGCTTTCTTTGGTTTTCGTCGGTTTTCCAGCCGCGGGGTGCGTTTCAGCAGCTGTGCCTCACCGAGAAAGTCCTGGGGGTGCCCGGATCGTCCCACACGGCCGCGGGAGATTCGAGCTATGGCTCGGAAGCCAAGGGGGGTCGGCGCGGGGGCCTCGAGGGACAAGCCAGGTGCGCTCGCGCCTTATCTCACATCCTATCCCTCCCTTCCATCCCTTCCCGTGGCGCTGATTGTCTCCAAGCAGAGCTTGCCTCTGCATGGGTCCCAGCGGACTCATATGGTTAGGTAAGGTGCGTCGCCGATTCCGGTGGCCCGCCCGGGTAGTAGTAGTAGTAGTAGTAGTAGTAGTAGTAGTAGTAGTAGTAGTAGTAGTAGTAGGTAGTGGTAGTGGTAGTCGTAGTAGTAGTCGTAGCAGTGGTAGTAGTAGTATTTGTAGTAGTATTGGTAGTCGTAGTAGTAGTAGTAGTAGTAGTAGTAGTAGTAGTAGTAGTAGTAGTAGTAGTAGTAGTAGTAGTAGTGGTGGTGGTAGTAGTAGTATTTGTAGTAGTATTGGTAGTCGTAGTAGTAGTAGTAGTAGTAGTAGTAGTAGTAGTAGTAGTAGTAGTCGTAGTAGTAGTAGTCGTAGTAGTAGTAGTAGTAGTAGTAGTTAGTAGTAGTATAGTATTAGTAGTTAGTATTAGTAGTTGTAGTAGTAGTAGTAGGTAGTAGTGAACTGGGACATTGGTTGCGCGCAAGGGGTGGGGGCAAGCAAAACTTCAGTTCATTCGGGGCCAGCCCGTAGCCAGAGGCAAAATGTTATGTGAAAGAGAGAGAAAAGTGTCAGAACAGGGGGTGGTAGGAATTTCGTAGTCGTAGTAGTAGTAGTAGTAGTAGTAGTTGTAGCTAGTAGGAG